ATTCTTTAACGCGTGACAATATGTAGATTCGTTCGAGAAAAATAATTTTTATATTTTTCCAATTCTCATTGAAGAAATGACACGTGTTAAGTAAAAGATTAAGAAAGCAAAAAAAAAAAAAGAAATAATAAAGTATGGTAAAAAGAAAAATGATTACGTCGCGTTCTAATCATGATGCTTTTAAATTGATAGAAACACATACGTACACACACACACACACAGATATACACCTAAGAAGCGTTCGACTATGTTCATGGGGAATAATACTTTATCGGTATTAAACCGGTATACTTGATAAAGCTGTTAGGTGAAAAGGATTCTCTTCTAGGATATTAGAAATGGCAAGAGAAAGCGAGAACGAACAAACGAGAGTGTGTGTGTGAGAGAGAGAGAGAGAGAGAGAGAGAGATTATGGTACTTACAGTTGCTGACTAGATTCTGAAAAGACCCTTGCGAGATGCACACGGTACGTGAAAGTATAAACCTTGCACACCTGCTTCCTCATCGGTTCTCTAGAGGACTATCAACTAATTACCCTATTAATATCCCTAGATTGTTACACGAACAGTTTAATATTTTGACTACCAAGATATTTTACCTTACTGCTTACACGTACCTTCATTTTCTTCCATCTTATGCATAACTTGTGTAGTTTCAAAACAAAAACAAAATAATTCTTCGAAAAATTTTCTTCTAACGTTTCTAATGTATTCAAATGTTTGTTTCTGAAGTCAACAATTTCTTTTACAATGTCAGTGATTTGAAAACAACTGCGACGAAAAAGCAAAGCAATTAAAGTCTTTAACATAGCTTAAGTGAAGACAAATTGACGATTAATTAATTATTCTATTATTTATTAATTATAGTTAAAAATCTTGAGAACATATACATAAAGATACATGATTTTAATTCATGAATCGTTATCTAATAAAATTATGAACAATTTTCTAATCTTTTATTATTTTTACGACGATCATTTAATGTCTAACATTGAACAATTTCAATATTTAAACATTTACTTATCATGTAAGAAGATAAATTTTATTCTAAAAAAAAAAAATATTATGTGGGCAGATCACACGTGTTAGAAGTGAAATCTTCGAAAAACTAAGTTTCGAGAAAAAGAGACGACTGCATAATATCAGGAGTAGGATAATTGTTAAGTTTATTTGTTATAATATTATTATTATATTATTGTTATCACATTTAAAAATTATTATACGTTTTATTGAAAACATATATAAATAGATAACATATTACACAGCAAGCAAGTTCTCAATTCAAAGAAATGAGACGAGTTGCTTCTGGTAACTAAAAAATGAAATAGAAACTAATCACCTCTGTTAGTGTAGTAAACACCTCTATAGTAAGGTTTTTTTCCGAAAAGTAGTGAGGTTTTTTTCCGAAAATTATCTGTATATATATTTTAAGAAATATATAAACGAAATGTGTGTGTGTGTGTGTGTGTGTGTGAATGAAATGTTATTCTATATAATAAATATATTTTAAGATATAAATAATATTTTTGTTTTTTAATTTGAAAATGAATTATATTGAAATTTTGATGTATATATTTTATTTCTATATTTGAAAAGATATTTTTTGAGTATGTAAAAAGTTATTTAAACAAGCGTTTTAAAATTATCTGCTTGATGCATAGGATGTGTCATATTTTTGTATTATACAAGTATATTTTTACATGTGCCCCGAGATTAAAATAATAAGAAGACGAAAAGCAAATATAAAACTGACAAGGATATTAAAAGACATATTATATGATTGCTTTCTCCTTGCTTGCAAAAACTGTGATTTATTTAATTATCCTTATCATTTTTTTTTCTCTTCACGTATTTCCTTTGTAAGTAAGAAAAAATTATATTAAAAAAAAAGTGACAGGGGGATATTCAAAGGACACGTTATTATTTCTTTCCTTACTTTGAATGCGTTAAATTAAATTATTATTATTATCATTATTATTATTATTATTTCTTTATACGTTTTGCTAACAGGAAGAAGAAGAAGAAGAAGAAGAAGAAGGAACTAAAGAAAAATAAAAAAAGAAATTGAGAAGTATATTTTGAAGACGTATTATTGCTTTTCATTCTGGTTACCAAGAAAAAAATAAGAAAACCAAATGTATTTTATCTCGAGATGAGTTTTTGGACTGTTAAAAATGTTGCATTCGCTATAGGCATGCATTACAGAAGCCGCGAAAAACTTTTTCAAAGAAATATGTATTATAGTTGTAAATAAACGGCTATCGAACGTGAACATAAAAGGGTAGCTCCGAATATCCGGCTGTAAAGAGTTGCTGCTGCTCTGCCTTTCTCGGTGAAACTCGATTTACGTCAAAGTCTCGATATCGGGTAAATATGGAAAATAGTTGTAGGAAGAAGGGGAAAAAGAAAAGAGAGAATAAAAGAGAAAGGGGTGGAGAGAGAGAGAGAGAGAGAGGGAGGGAGATGGAGGGAGAGTGGTGAGTCTTTGTTAATGCGAGTGATGTTTGAAAAAAAAAAAAAAAAAAAATAAAGAAAAGATTGTAGAAAATGAATAGAATATCTTAAATATAATAAAATTATAAAAGATAATTTTCATTGAAGATATATCGTGATAGATATATACATTGAATATTATAAATAAAATTTGCTAATGTAAAATAAATTAATAGAATTTTTTGTTAATCTTAAATATAATAATATTAAATTATATTAATAATTAATATTATTAATAAATGGTATATAATGTAAGATAGATTATATATAATAGAATTTTTTTAATCTTAAATATAACCAAATTATAAAAGATAATTTTCATTGAAGATATATCGTGATTGATATATATAT